CCTAGTAGCTTCTTGTTACTAGTAGCAAGGCCAGGAGCTACTAGTAGCGTCCTTGCTCCTAGTAGCGATGCCCTTTGTTCCTAGTAGCTTCTTGTTACTAGTAGTAAGGCCAGGAGCCCCTTCTTATTGAGTCCTTCAGACGACCTCAGGAGCCTCCCGCCACGGACTCCTCCGCCGCGCCGGCCGCGGCGTCCGCGGCGTCCCCGGCGGCGGAAGCGGCGGAGTCCAAGGCTGAGGAGCCGAAGGCGGTGAAGAGGTTCTGTGAACGTGGAATAGGATCATATAGGTATATCAGAAGTTTAGGGGGAAGGTCTGGTTGCTCAGCTTGCCACTTGTTCAGTGCGAACTTCTTGTTCCACCTGTTCCGACCCAAAGGCAAGCCCCAGTCGTGGGCACGGATTGCTGTCCGCCTTCAGGCGGAGCTGACCAGCACAACAGATGGAAAGGAGGCTGACCAGGGGGGCCTGGTCGTGTGGGTCGGGCGTTTGCGGGGTTCCTTTATGGATTGGGGCTTCTTAGGCCGTGTGGGGCTCAAAGTTCTGGGGAGGTGCTTGTTTTGGTTGGAGCATGTTCGACAAGGGTTAGCATTTCCAAGATATGATGCATTTTGTAGACCTTCACCAAAACTTCCAGACCCCACTCATCTTCATGACCCAGGGCCCAAACAACATTCCAATTGACCAAGCCACCTGCAAACTTGCTGGTCTCATATGTCCTAGAAACTGACAGAATCAATCATATTTGGCCAGCTCTCAGTCCCACCCAGTTCATCATTGGAGCATTGTGTGAGGTGCCAATGGAGCAGAAGGTGCAGCTCGCCGCAGCACCCCAGGCAGGCCGCAGCACCCAGGGTGCTGGGTGTTTCTCAGTTGGTTGTACTCGTATGAAGAGGTCAGCAAGCCTCGTGGTTGGCAGTTTGCCCTTCCCAAACGAGCTTGTTGTCCCTGGTGTTGGGTTTGTCCGAACGTGTTGACCGTCTCAACCATGGAAGTTTTGACCGGGTCTTGCATGGAATGAACTCACTCGCATGGTGACTCCCTTTACAGAGGCCCCAAATAGATCAAGAAACTAGAAACAGTGTTTATGCTTCCTCAGGCCTTGGTCCCTAATAATTAATAGAGTTTCAATTGGTGGCTTTAACGACATGGACCATGGATGAAATGTTCTTCATGTTTCCACACAAGCCCATTGCAAGTTTCTCCCAACTGTTTGCTGTAGGAATTTGACTTTTGCATCCCATTTTTAACTCCAATGCCCTGTTTGTGAGCGGCATTGTGACTGATCCACTTATGCTAGGAGAGCTTTCAGGCTGCTTCCAGATTCAATCGTGTTTCCGAAAACCACCAGCAACGGCCATTTTGCAATACCGTGGGTTCAATCCATTCATCCGCGTTGTTGAATTTGCTTAAACATTCATTGCGTCAAACATTGTTCATCCTGCAATCTCTTGTTACTTGTATAGTAAGTGTTGGACCATGTTCGATCTCTGCCCCCTGAGCACCCTTAGTTTTGGGAGCACCTTCGCTTTCTAGTCTGCTGGCAAATGCTCGGAACATCCTCCCAAGCATCTATCTGGAGAAACTCCCGATATGTTGGAGGCCATCGCTATTCATTAGGTGGAGGCCATCGCTATGTAGTGGGTTGGAGGCCATCGCTAGTAGGTTGGAGGCCATCGCTAGCAGTGTCTTGGAGAACGGATGAGAAAGGCCCGAAAGGCCCCTTTCGACTGGCCTAGCCGCCTAGCTGCCTGATCTCGGGACCGCTGCGGTGAGGCCGAAAGTTCGGCGCCAGCGAATCCGTGTACAGCAGCACCAGAGATGCCACTAGATGACAAGAGGGAGGTGGGAGAGCGCTTCGTCAGGTGCTTCTTTGCTTGAGCAAAATGGATGTCCAATTGACCTGAGGCTTTTTGCTGACCTGTTATATGCCCTGAGTTTTGGAGTCTTTGCTGAGCTTTAGCGAGCTGAGCAACTGTCCGGCTCCCCTGATCGGTTCTTTTTGGAATGAACAGGTGAACGACAAGAGACGTCTCATGTCTCAGTAGGCAGCTGAGCACAGGGAACCGCACGGGGTTGAAGTTTGAGCTGCGAAGTCCGATCAAGAATCATACAGAAGAAGTTTCACTGTGATCAGATGGGCAAGAAGGCGGGTTTGTAGGATTCGAAAGACCAAGCTATGACCCGTTTGGATGGTAAACAGACTTTCTGACTTTCTACCACGGCCCACAGTCATCCACAGTCACCCGGGAAACTCATCTTCCGCCATAGGCTTGAGGCAATGCAAAAGTTGGTGGATGCCACTGCGCAGGAGCAGAAGGGCTTGAAGGCGCCACCCCAAAAAGACCAAGCGAAGCCTGCAGAAGCTGTGAGGATCTCAGCAACTTCTGTGGGCCAAGCTTTTGGATCAATAGACAAGGTGTTTTCAGTCAATGGAAGAGCTCCAAGCAGAAACTGGAAATCCGCTCAAGGTTGCTTGGACCTGCCTGGGCACCCCCACTCAGGACTTGTTCGGAGAGCTCTTCTGTTCTTTTGAATCAATATTTTTGTGTTTGAACATGTGCCATGCGGAGTTAACAACATCGTTCCTTTTTTTATCGCCTCGATGACAGGCCATAGTTTTGGATGCAGAGACATCTCAATTCCACGAGCCATAGGTTCCTGAGGATTGTCTTTGGGGTGGAGCTAAAGTACATCCTCAGGAATGCCTGCCAACACCCATGGGAAACACTTCTCCACGAACGTGTGGAAGCTCCACATAGTTCCACCATGTTCCACCTTGTCCACGCGTTCATCGACACCTGTGACTGCTGGACGAACCGATCGGAGGAGGATCGATCCTAATTTGGGGATGGATTGTGATTCACCCACCATGTTCAACCTGCTCTAGGCCCACCACTTGAGACGACCATAATACGACCATCTTGATTTAGCGGTCCAGTCGACCGAAACAGCCGGATCGGTGGCCAGAAGCCTTTGGCACCAGGTGCAAGAGGTCCTGAAAGTGCAGTGTCTCAACCAGCAAGGAAGAGTGGAGCAGCGAAGAATCGGAGTGATTCTACTGGCGGTCAACATAAAAGTTCAGTGTTTTTAACCCGAAAGAACTTGAGTGAGTTGAGAGGACTGCAGCATCCGAGGATGAGTCCGGTCTTTTGGTGTGCTACCTCTTCTTTTCGATTGTCCTGATTTGGTGAAGAACTCATTTGTTTGCTCATGTCACCTTTCATATACACCTGGCCGGTGGGGGATTCCAAGCATCCGACCACTGCGCTCACCGATACACACTTGGAGGTTGGGCACCCCAGGTCCAAGTGCGCTGTGTGACGCGACACCGGACGTGGTTCCAGGAAGTTCGGTCGGCGGTCTTCCCTTCCTCTGATGAATAGTACTGGTAATAGCTTCTTGTTCCTAGTAACGGTGGCCTCCAACCTGCTGGCGATGGCCTCCAACCAATCAGCGATGGCCTCCAACCCAATAGCGATGGCCTCCAACCTACTAGCTTCTTGTTACTCCTAATTTGCTTTCTGAATCTGATCCAGGTCTTTTTGGATCCTTCCTGTAGCAGGTCGCTGCATAATTTGTCGCAGATTTGGTTGGTGTGGCAGAGCAATATGATGAGATAGATACTTCCAATTGGGGTTGTCATGTTTCAGGGTCGGTCAGAGGAACTATCTCGACTATGTCAAACCAATATCGGACAACCCCAAGAAACCAAGGCATGGTAAAATTTGGTCCCAATTTGGGGCTCAACTGCAAACTCTGCCTAAGTACCTTTGAGGGGGCAAGTGGAGCCCTAGGATGGATTCTGTAATATTATGTAATATTATGTATAATCATGTTTCAGGTCTGGCAGGCTTGGGTGAACATGGCTTCATTTCTACCATATCTCACAACTAACGAATATTTTGGCTGTCGGAAGCATAGTCTGGGCATCCTCACCGAGCTGAAGCAACGCTGGCACTCTGTCGGCGAGCACCTCCGATCTTTCCAGACACCGGCAGAGAGGGCAGTGACTAGTGCACGCGATTTGGGGCTGACAGCCCTTCTTGTCGTGCTGACCTCGTGGGCCGACGTTACTTACCCCTATGGTTTGATAGCAGGCCTGCCAGCCGTGGGCACAGCACCCCAGCAGGGGCGGCTGCTCACGATGGAAGACGTGCTCGAGGACTGGGAGACCCACAACCATCGAACTATCGCTGCCCTCAAGCCAAGTCGTCACGAAGATGTCCTCCTGGGGCAATCCCTTCGGGGTGCTGTACAAGGCTTCTGTACTGAGCCCCTGACCCACACGCAGCTCATACGGGAACTCCGAGGCCAACCATTTCGGGTGATTCCTCGATGTGTCATCGTGCAGTCCTCAGGGAAGAAACGCATCATCGACAATGGCGACACAGGGGGACAATCTGAGCGATCCTCCGACTGGAACAAGCTGGTGCTGTGCTCCCCCTTTCCTTCCGCGCAGCACATCAGTGCCGTAGCTTCCCTGATGTCAGACGAGCACTGGGCCCATCTTGCGAGTCAAGATGCATGGCAGTCCCGCGGCGAAGATTGGCCCAATGCCTACAGGCACTCCGAGGCTGCATAGTATGCTTTTGGCATGCGGATCGGGCGGAGCCGGCCTTCCAGGTCTACTCATCGCTGCTCTTCGGCCTACCTCTCGCAGTGACTTCGTTCAATAGATACTCACGGCTGATCGAAGCCTTAGGGAGAAGACTTACATTCAGTCTCGTCTCCATGTACTTTGATGATGCGCACATCACTGACCTCCAGTCTGGCCAGGGCTCTAGCCAGCGTGCATTCTGTCAGCTGAACGCCCTCTTGGGTACCCCCTTTGCGGAGGAGAAGAAGCAACTTGTGCAGCCTTCCGGCACCTTCTTGGGTTTGGACCACGACTTCACCTCCTTGGGCGATAGCATTGTCACCTTTTGGGCCCGCGACCGGCTTCTGCAGAAGACCCTGGCCATGTTGGCGGAAGCCCAAGGAGTCTCCAACTTGTTTGGGCAAGCTTCCAAGGTCTACGGCGTGTTGAATTTCCTTGAACAAGGCGTCTACGGAAGGCTGGGCTGCGCAGGATTGGCGGCCATCAAAGCACGCCAAGCCTAGCGATCCAAAGACCTCACACCCGAGCTCATGAACAACTTCGGTGTCGTCAGATCCATCCTCCACCATCGGCCTCGTCGCGGACTTCTAGTGAGGCCTTTGTTTGTCGTCGCTCTTCTGACGCCGCCCTGGAGGAACCAGGGTGTGGCTCCGGAGGATTTTTAATAGTGTGGCACGATCCGGCGGGACCGGTTCGAGAAGCGTTTATCGCCGACATCCCTGAAGATGTCTACCAGCTGTGGGACCCTGGGGACAGGAAGACAGCGCAGCTGGAGATGGTGATGATCATTTATGCGCTCGCCGCACGTGCAGACCTTTTCCGAGGTAGGAGGGGGATTTGGCTGATTGACAACGTGGCAGCACTCATGTCTCTTATCCGCAGCCGGTCGCATTCACCGGACCTCGAGCGCATGTGTGGCCTGATCCATATCATGTTGTACGCGCTGCGCACGTGGACGTATTGGGAATACATTCCTTCCAAGAATAACTGGGCAGATGCGATCTCCCGGTTAGGCTGGCACGATCCTTGGTGGCGTACCAACGGATTTAAACCTTTTTCCGTGACTTGCCCGTTTTGCCTCTGGTACCTGCCGCTCCCCGCAGTCATCAGAGTCATGGAACTTCTCTAAGTGCGTTGTGGGTTTTTGTAAGTGCATTGGGAGTGGTTACCGGAGTGACCGGAGGTCAACCACTGTTGGTCTGACTGTGGCAGACCTGCCAGTGCAGGTTACCCAGCGCAAATCCTGCAGAGGCTTGCAGGTTGAAAGACATCACTTGGCGAGTCGATGAAAAAGGAAAGGTGCCGTAGCAGCGTACCTTG